CACACATTCTGAATTTCCTGCACAAACCCATATTTGGCACTAAGTCAATAAGTTCACAAACTAACATCATTCTGAATTAATGTGGCTTTTAAAGTAATGACTGCATCACTGGAGCAGAGCAGGAGACTCACTCAGTCATGATAGTAAACGTGGATGTAAGGTAAGCCAGCACCATACAACAATGGCCTTTATTCTGCTAGTGGGTTAAGTGCATGCTCATTCGGGCATGATTGAAGCATGGCAGGTAGGACAGAGTTTGGCAAATTCACGCCCAGTGGTCTTCATGGATTTGGCACAAGAGGCCTTACGGCGACTTAGACCTTTGAAGAAGTAGGTAAGTGGGCCACAGTTCCACAGATAAGTCGACAGGGCTCAATTCAAATGGTACACAAAAACACATAAAATCTCACATTCCACCACAGGTAGGTTTCTGGTTTGATTTTGATTTAAAAAAAGATCAAATATTCACTGTCAAGTTGTCTTGGTTATGTAGCAGCCATGCACGTCTGTTAAATCATGGGATTTTTTTTCCCTGCCACAAAATGTCATTCCTATGGCATGATTAGAACAGCAGCCTAAAATCAGAAGCAGCAGTAAACCATCAGCATTATACATCAACTTATATAAATGCCTACTGGCCTGATGTAGCCAAATAAAAAGGAATGGCAGCCCAGTGTACTGCAGAAGCTCACATCTCGGCTGTTTTTCTTGTTTTCACTTTGCTTGTGAATTTACCCAAAAATTGCTGAATTGTGCAAATCTAAATCTATAGTTTCAAAAAGTGAAAGCAAAAGCTTGAGGTGGCAATCTCACAGAAGTATGAACTATAATAATAATAACAACAACAACAGATTGCATTTTTACATAGCGCTTTTCTTGACCCCTCAAAGCGCTTAACAATACCACTATTCATTCATACACTGGTGATGGCAAGCTACAGTTGTAGCCACAGCTGCCCTGGGGCAGACTGACAGAGGCGAGGCTGCCATATTGCGCCATCGGCCCCTCTGGTCAACACCAGTAGGTGGTAGGTGAAGTGTCTTGCCCAAGGACACAACGGCCGAGACTGCCCGAGCCGGGGCTCGAACCGGCAACCTTCCGATTACAAGACGAACTGCCAACTCTTTGAGCCACGATCGCCCCGATTGCCCCTTAGCAGTCCTGACTATGAAGTCAGGACTGCTAAGCAGCTGGGGACACCAGGCCAGGCAGCTGCATCCGCCTGGAATGGTTTGGCTGCTGACCAGCTGCGGCTGAAATAAGGTTAAAGAGCCTCCCAGGATGGATGTGTCAGACTTTTCAATCTTGTACCCCTAACAGTCAGGCCGGCTTCTTAGCACATAAACAACACTGAAGTGTTCGTGCTATCTGTAGTTTGACTTTTAAACAACCCACTCTTCCGACTTGTGTCAAATGTGCTAAAGGGTTTGTGCTGGTAAAGCATTTATTGTGCAGAAGAAGCAGTTTTCATCTGCACCCAGCAAACATGTCATCAAGGATTACGCTAGAAGGATAATTATCCGTCCATCCATCCAAACTTCCTCAACACAGTATCTCTTTGATGGCAAAAGTGACATTGTGACAAAACATACTTTTGGCAATAACTATTAATGGCAATATTTCACTTTTAAAAGTTTAGTCACATGAACTGATGCAGTGATGATAGGTTATACTATGTCACTATTTGACTATGATATCTTATAGCTTTTTTAAAGTAGCCACAGACTGTGACCATACAGTTGGTAGGATTCATAGTTAGTAACACTAACATCTGGGGACACCTATAACAGGTTCATATGATTTACCACATAAATCACATGAACCTGAACAGATCTGATTTCAACTGCAATTTGAGTGATTAGCAGAGGCATACAAGCACAAAGGGGAGTTTCATTTAACTTATTTAGTAGTGTTTTCCCCCTCTTTTATTCAGTTATAGGAGACAGTTGTTCAGTCAGACGATACACTAAATATAAAAGTGACCTCTGTGTAAGCGGTGAAAGGAGGACAGATAAAAGTGCTTTCATGACAGATGTACTTTGGCAGAACAAAGCCTGGCTCAACCTCTGTTCTCATCAGGATTGTCAAGAACAGCCATGACTCCAATTTTTCTTTTTTAAAGCAGACTCCTAACCTGGACTGACTCTTCTCTTTGTACCATACAGCTTAGAATAAGCTTAGAGTATGAAAAGCCTACTATTTAGTAAACTAATGAGGAAACTGGAAAGCTGAAGCCTTCAGTGTCATCTTCTTTAAAGTAAGTAAATGACTCAGCAATGCTCAACCAGACTTTTTACCCTTTAATATTAAGCAACTTAGAGAAGCGCCAGTAAACACGATATTTCTGTCAAGGATTTCTGTCCGTTTTTGAGCGGTACATGCTCAGAGAACAAAGATGTGAGTAAGCCACCCACCAGCTACAGCTCAAAGCCTACGCTCTCTTTTTATGAAGGGGAAGGAAATCTTGTTACAAACAAAACCAGTGTGAGAGAAAGATGTTTGACACGATGATACGGGGAGATATAGAAATTACTGACTTTGGAAATAGTATGTAAAAAAACATCTTTTGCTAAACACTTAAATATTTGAAATACATAATAAAACAACAACTAATTGAGCATGAAAAAGGCCGATTACGTGTCATTAAAAAAGGAGTTTAAAAAAAAGCAACTGTTTTGCATTTAAATTTTTTTTAACAAATTTAAAGCAGGAATACAGTGAATAAATTAAGAATATTTTAGCAGTCATTCCTCTAGTAATGTACACTTACAAGACACAATCCCAATTAGTTTTTGTAATTAAGGTGCAGAAAGAAGACAAATTAGTCTTCAAGGTCATAGGCCATATTTTTTTATTTAATCTTTTTTTATTTTTTACAGCATTACGTTTTTCTGTTTATCAAATAATCTAAATGAAATTAGGAGGGATTATATATTCTCCTTGGAAGACAGACAGAAGAAGGAGAAAAGAAAATCTCTGTAAAATAAAAACAAAAATGAATACACATTACATGTAATGTCACGCATTACATTCTCGTAATGTATATTTGTGAGATACATAAATGACCCGGAAAAGAAAAAATAGATTACACATGGAAATACAGGCAGAAAAAAAGGGGGGAAAGTGCATTTAAGGCAACTGCTGTTGAGTTTGCACAATATTTTCAGTCGTCCCCCTCGATAAGTTAAAGTGAATGTACTGGGCTGTAGTTACTGTCCGATGTGTAATGAGATCCAATGAGAAGGTACCCTCGGCCTTACAATAGGTGATTCAGTGGCAGATACAGTAGCTCGGGTAAAAAGGGGAGCAGGCAGAGTATTAGTAGTAAATATTTTAGGGACTGGGCAGAGTCAGCTTGGCGGGAGAGAAGTGAAGCAGGTGTTGTGTTGCATCCACTTTCTCCTGTTTCCTTTTGGGGGAAGTGGACACCTAAGTGGCCAGCAGAGTTTAGCAAAACAGGCCCATTAGTATCAAAGATGTTTTGGTTAGTAGAAAAAGAAGAGACCTGCAGTTTTCTTGGGATAAAGGAAGGTCTGATGTTGTAGTGTTGTTTTATAATTTTTTTCCTTTCATCCTTACAAAATTCAGAGTATGGAGTGAAATTTTGCCCAACAAATACGGACAACATGACTGTTACATGTTGTTTTGTGACCAGAGCTCATCGGAAACCAGTCTGAAATATTTACAAGTTTGGTAAAAGGTCATGTTTCTTTAAAGGGCAAATTGGGAAAGTCGCACAGGTCGACAGCAGCACCCCCTGCTGGCCAGCTGGAGCAACACGATATAGACAGTAGAACAACAAATCCAATACACGGTATGTGATAAAGGATGGGGGGAAAGGAAAGGGGTGGCAAATATTTATATTATTCCACATTCATATTAAAATTATTTTTTTCATTTATAATTTTCAAGGAAACAATGTTCATCTTTGCAGCCATCACCACAATAAAACAGAGCAATTTACACCCTTGTCAAGTCATTTCTAAACTGCCAAGTACATCAACTGTTCAAGCTGCATCAGAGAATAAACAAAAGTTTCCACTATTCACAGAAAAAAGGGGAGACTACATGAAATTATTCAGACACATGTACATATTAACAATGTATATATTACAATACAGAATGGGGATGTTTTCTCTTGGGCTGTCAGTGGTAGGAGCTGTAAAAAAAAAAAAAAAAGAAAGGAGGGGAAAAAAAGACAACCAGGGGGTAAAGCTTTTACAGTCTGCTGGCTTTTGAGAAAAAATGAAGATGCAGTTTGACAATCCGTATGTTCTCCTGTACAGATCCAGGCTGAGTGGAGCTGGATCCAAGTGTGGCATTTCTCCCAAAATCTATTTTCACCTTCCTTCACTCGAGTCTGTTATGTGTGTCCAGTGAAGACATGTCAACCTGAGTGTCCCGTATCTCCCATTAGTGTCTGTACACACCAGCTTCTGCTGTGTCCTTTTGCAGACGTGACCTCTGGAGAGTGCAAGCAGTGTGTAAGCACCATTCTCTGAACAGCAATGTCAGGGCAGTTGGTTGAAGAAACCAGGTCCCGAAAGTTCCTTGTTATAATCTGACCTGAGACCAGCACTGTTTAAATGGCCTCTGCGTGTGTAAGGCCCTGAGTTGGCTCGCTTCAGTTCACCGGGTGGTTGCATTCAAGAACTTCTTTTCAGGTTTGAACGCCAAAAAAACAGAGGGGGAAAAAGAAGAGCGGCCTGTGGTTTGTTTTCCTTGTTGTTTATGAGCTCTCTGTCTGTTTATATTCCCACTGGGGCTAAATGTTGGTCAGTGATATATTATTACCCTGCATGGCAGAGAGAACATATCCCAGGCTTTGGTTTTTAAATTGTCAAAGCATGTGTTTGCAACTGCATATGTCTGTAAATGCATGTGTGTGTGTGTGTGTGTGTGTGTGTGTGTGTG